TTCAAGTTAAAATTTAAAAGGCATAGTCGACTAGGATTAGGTTTCATTTGCTTAGAAATAGTTTTAAGAAAGACATTGTCGACTATGCCCTTTAAAGGGTCAACTGCTCACTAGTTTCAAAAAGCCCAAACATGTTTTTAAGAATGCCATCGTTGACTATGGCACAATATACAAACCTCCATAAATCCAAGACTTGCCTTCTCTTTACAAGGTTTAGGTTCAGTAAGATCAATAAATAGAAAATTAGGTTTTGGCTCTTTCCTTGAAACCGAGTCTTAACGTGATTAATAGAGGTAGTGCGAGGAAATTGAAAATCTTCAAGCATTCTCTAATTGTTCTTTCTTTCTAACCAAGGTGGCACTTAGATAATCTCCCAATTCATTCAATTACGACTAATAATTCACAACCCACCATCACTTATATAACTGACAATGCAGAATATCATAAACAAATATGCATAGAAATGAACAATGAAACTTACATTATAATTTACAGACAAACAAACATTTCATCATGATGTAGTGTAACAAATTAAGCAAGCATCAACAAAGCCAAAAAAGAGAATTTTTGAAGGAAAAGCACTTGACAATTCCACAATTTCAAGGCATGGATAATTTTGGAAGCATTCAAACAAACGTCAAACATCGACACTGAAACCAAGCAACCTCAAGACCTTAATGACATAGAGAATCAAAAACCCATAAAATAATGAAATGGAGAGGCACCATAATCGGAGAGAATAATGAAAGAGAGAAAGAGAAGAAAAAAATAATGAAAGGGAAAAACAGAAGAAAGGAAAGAAGATCGAAAGAGAGAAACAGAAGAAAAAAAAAGGAGAAAAACAAAAAGACAATGAGAAAAGAAGAATGGGAAAAAAATAGAAAAAGAGAGCAACAAAAGAGGTAGAAAAATCAAAAACACATTGAACGAAGAGATAGGAAGCATAAAAGCCCAAATCCTCCCCTAGAAATCCAAAAATCACTAAACAACCATCCGAAAATCATTGTACTTTAGATTAATCAATTTTAATTTAATAAGAAACAATTAATTAATGACAACATAATTAATTTAATAAATTTTAAGGTATATATGTCATTCATTAATTGCATTTTTAAAGTTAATACTTCTATATATAGTAAAGATAAATTTTAAGGTATTTATTTATTTATGTGTTTCAAAGAAAATCAAAGGATTTCACCTTATCAATCAATTCATTGTAACTGGAAAAATGTAATGGAGCTAGGCCTTTATAGATATGAACATTTACGTCATGTTTAAACCTCTTAACTCTATTCTCCTTAACAGAAGTAAGAGAAGTAACAAACTTTGACAATCTATCAAACTCAACCTTATGGTAACCATTATAATACTACTGTGAACCAAATTAAGACACTTGTTTTTTAACTATAACAGCTTGCTCCTAGGAAATTACTTTGTATAAAAAACAGTGGGAAATTTCCTTTAGTCGAAGAACTTAAGGCCATTCTCATAAGTATGCACTACACCTTTCCCCCAATTATGAGCATTTCTTTGCAACAAATAAGTAGCAAACCTAATCTTATTTTGCTTAGCTGAATGCATTGCATCAAAAGCTTTCTCCATCTCCTCAATCCACAATTCAATATCATCGAGGTTTGTATAACCCTTAAAATGTGGTGGTATTATCTTTTAAAAGTCACCAAAAGCTTTTCACTTAGTAGAATTCTCAACCTGTTGGATGATTGCAAACAATGTCATTGCTCTTTAACTAAACCTGCAATCTATTGGTTCAATTCCAACACCTTGTCATCATTTCAAACCACTACATGTTGTGTTCCTTCAATTGGGTTTGCAAGAAGCTAGTTAAGCCTAACACCTCTTTGAGCATTCGATATCATAGTAACATTTTGATATTGGTTTGGTTCTAAGGATTTTAGTGTCTCTTGGGGTGAAACCTCCTAGAACCATTAGCTCCAGTGTTAGGTTAGGCTCACAATTTCGATGAGGAGGCATACGTACTCATCATAGTAAAGAAACTTATACCTAGCAGATTTTTCATTGAATTATAGCATGGAACAAGCATAAAAGAAAAATATAAATAACTAAAAGGGACATGAGTTGAAAGAAAACATCCAAATTCTAAATTTCTAACTCATATCTCAAATCTCTCATAAATATCAAGTGCTTGACTATGAGATTATGCTAAACATGGCTCTAATCTCACTAACCTATCACACCCTGACTTGAATCATAACAAACACCACACACCTATAATATATAATTCTACAAATATGTAAAGCTTGAACACATGAATCTCATACAAATAACTAAATGAGTCAAAAAAAAAAAATCTAAAGTTGTAATTGTCTATCTAGCTTTAAATATTCAATAGAATTAGAAAAGTCATGCAATTCAAAATAAGGTTTCCAAAGATCCATATGAAACTAAAACATGGAGATAAGGTATGAATAAACTAATTTAAAATTACTGTCGAAAATTTTCATACTTAAACAGTCTTATAAGTGATTTTGGGAAGGGGAGATTCAAACATGCTGTTTTGGTAGAGGATTATTTTGAAATTTTGATTGATGATTCAATAAAATATAGATTTTAGTTTTTGATGTAGCTAAATTTTAACTTTATTAAGAACATTTAATATAACAAAAAGTTCAAAGTTAGTACGAAAATAGATAAATAAAAAATTAGTCAATATTTACTTTAATAAGGAAATTATCAATTTAGGATGGTTTCTTAATAAGGATTTCAATGTTGATAAGGAAATAAATAAAAATTAATCAAATTTTAATTTAATAAGAAAAACATTAATTAATGACAACATAATTAATTTAATAAATTTTAAGGGTATATATGTCATTCAGTAATTGCTTTATTAAAGTTAATAATTCTATATATAGTAAAGAAAAGATAATTTGCAGTATTAGAATTTGATCCTTTGAACAAAATAATACATACATATATATATATATATATATATATCACTATTAAGTTAGATGCTCAAGTATATGAAAATTCACTTTTGAAAAATTGAATTTTGACATTATTTCCTTCCAAAGATTGAAAATTGATGCCATCAAAGTTGTTAAATTATATATAAATATATAAAAAAATACACATACACGCACAAATACACACAAATTTGTTTCGAAAAACCTTGGAAAGAATATTAAGTGCACATATGCACAAATTCTTAGCTTTGGCATCCTTCTTGTTTTTTCCAAGAAAGAAATTTCAACTCTCCAATGATAATTAGGAGCCCAATTAAGTTCCCTGGGTTAGGCAGGTTGGCCCCAAAAGCAAGGCTGCCATTAGAGCTTGACCCTTTTTTTTCTTTCCATTCATAATTTTTCATATGATTTGTTTCCATACAAAGTGAACCTTAGAGGGCTTTAATTTTCCAAGAGGAAATGAAAACTGAAAATCATTAAGTCTCTTGTCTCCTTTGGCTTTCTTATGTTTTTTTCCTCCAAACCAAACATTAACCACAATTAAAAGCTTCAAGTCCTAGAAGTCTATCCTTTCCCATAGCAAGCAGCCAGCCTCAGGTTTGTGAGAACAGTTTTAATTAGGATTTCGACATCGATATCATGCCATGTTGCAACCAAACTCAGCCAATGATTTTGCGATATTTAGTTTCCAATTTTGTTGTTTCTTTGAAAAACCTATATCGACCGAAAATTCGTCATCAAATTCCGCATAGAATTTGGAAAAAAACCCACAGATATTTCTACGCCACTCATTATCACACAAGAAATTGTTTAAGTATGTGTCTGAAACTTCTCTAGCCATAGTCAAACGCAAGGTAACCTGGCCTTTTTCCTAATTAGCAAAAGGGAGGGTGGCCAGCCCAAATAATTTGTATTTTCTGATATACACTGTATCTAATTATGAAGGGTTCAATTTTGTAGTTCAAACTTTTGAAAGTGCAAAGATAAAAATAAAAATAATGACATCGTACATAAATTATTAACATCTTATAATTGGACTACCAAATATGAATTTTTTTTTTGAAACTCTTTTAACATTTTTGTTTTGTGAGAAAGGGTTAATTATATATTGTGGTATTAATGTATGTATGTACGTCTTTTTTATTTTCTGCTTACATTACTTTTGGAGGTTCTACTAATCTCAAACTTAGGGTTTAGACACCCCAGCCCGCACAACACCGTCCTTCAAACCCAGGTTGGAATGCTGGAGGAAGTTAATTTGAAGAGAGACTATAAGCTGATGGCTGGTTGCAGGTGTGGGAAGGAGAGAAATAAGGACTGAGGACCACAAATTTACATGTCGTTTGACAGAATAAGTAATTTGAAACACTTGTATTTTGTGATCACAAATAACAGCACATGTACACCTCCAAAATATAAATAAAAGAAAATTAAAATTTTACAGCCTATGTATGGCTGGTTTCAGGGCACCTCTACGGTAAGCCTATTAAATAAGTAAATAATATTTAATTTATTTTTTTTAAAAGTAAAAAAAATTAAATAATTAATTAAATATTAATTATAAAAATTTATTTAATTTTCAAGTACCCTTTTATAGTTAAAGAGCAATTTCCAAACGATATGCCACGATTTTATTACGTTTTGCATTCAAGAACGAAAACGCAGATTTAAAAATATGAAACGCAGATTTAGGAACTGTCAAATGGTTGGAGTTGAATGCACCCAACACACGGACATACAAAAATTGTCCAGTGAAAATTTACATTTTGAATGCACTTGCATGTGCTTTTCTTCAACCTGCAAAGCTAGTCTTTTGCGCGTTGGACACTTTGTATTCCCGTGACAAATTTGACAAACCATTTGGTTGGACTTGGACTCCAATACCAACAGCCCATCATCAAGATTTTCTCAAAAAAGAGAAATCCCCCAACCCCCTACAATTTTGGATCCATTCCACCGGCAATTTCTCTTCTCAGCCGCACACAACATAAACATGAGGGCACTCTAAACAGTGGGGTCCAGACGGGCTGCGAGACTGGCGGGTCTTTTTTAAAGACGTATAGGGACACTTGTTGCCTTTGCTTTCGCCTCTCTGAAACACAAACTACTTTCTTCCAAGCCGCCAACTGAAACAGAAAATTTTCCTTACGACACTTCCACACTCTGACTCGCACGTTTTTCTGCTTTTTCTTTTTTCCTGGAGTGAAAATCTCTCTTGGTAACTCTCCCAACCCCTTGCATCTGTTTATTTTTATTTGCATGTCCATGTGTTTATGTGGTCTTTGGACTTAGTTTTTGTTAGAACGTGAATGCTGAATGAATCATTCCAAGGACGAAGTCAGGGCTTTCTCTAGGTTTGGAGATTAATGGAGGTTTTTCTTGTTTTAATGTGCAAGTGAACCCAAAAGAACCAGTCGTTCAAGATATGTTGTGTTTGGTTAATGGGAAAATGATGAAAAAAATTAAATTACAAGATTTGGGCAGTGAGCAATAATAATATAACAATAACAAGGCAAAGGGAGTGAGTGATTCGAATGAGCCTGGTATGATTGCTTATTTCTTTTCTTGGACATCTGGGAATATGTTTATTTATTTATTTACGCGTGGGAAAGGAATGTTTTTATGAAATGCTTTAGTTCCACTCTAGTACTTGACTTCTCTGATGAAAAGAATTGAAACTCTTTTAACTTCTTCACCCTTTCTCTCTTTGAAATCCTTTGTATCCGGGTTTCGAACAGAGCTGCTCTGTTTTAGAGTCAACTCTCTCTCTCTCTCTCTCTCTTCGTATGAAGAAATTGAGCTCTATCTCATCTACTGTCTGATTGTTTAACATGATTAGATTTCATTTAAATTTCTGACACCTTAACTCTTTGAGAAAATAACATCAACGTGCTTCACATTCTGTCCTAGTTTCCAAACTTTTGCACTTGTTTGTCCTGTGGATTTTGAAATATGCAGAGCCAGCCTGAATTCTAAGGAAGTTGTTATTTAATCCTAACTTTGTTGATAGTGTTGGATATTTCTTGCACCAGAAATGGAACACTTCAAAACCCCTTTCAAGGGTATTGCAAGTGATGTCAGAGGAAGAGCAGCCTGTTATAAACAAGATTGGATTGGCTGTCTTCGTTCAGGACTGGGGTACCTTTCTGTTTTCATTAATTATTACATGTATTATATGAAGTCAAAGCTGAAATAAATTGTGATATAGTTATGTTTTTTTTTTTTTGGTTCTTTTTACAGGATATTGGCCCCAACTACCTATATCTTCTTTGCTTCTGCTTTACCTGTTATCGCCTTTGGCGAGCAACTGAGTAAAGATACAGGTTGGTCGCTGTTCCACACGTGATCAGTTTGCTGCTATATTTCTCCCATACTTACAGTTTTAAAGCGTTCAATGATGAAGTTGAAACTAATATGATATATTTTTGGGTGTAGATGGGAGCTTAAGCACGGTAGAAACTTTGGCATCTACTGCCTTTTGTGGTATTATACACTCAATATTTGGTGGTCAACCCCTTCTGATACTGGGAGTTGCAGAGCCAACAGTTATTATGTATACATATTTGTACAACTTTGCCAAAGGAAGAAAAGACTTGGGCCAGGAACTTTACTTGGCTTGGGCTGGATGGTAAGAGCAATCTCCATTGTTATGGTTTCAAGTGAACATTTTGCTGAGGTTTTGTTACGTTCTTGATCTTATAATTTGTAAATTTTACAGGGTTTGCGTTTGGACCGCTCTCTTGTTGTTTCTTCTTGCAATGTTCAATGCTTGCACGATAATCAATAGGTTTACAAGGATTGCAGGTGAACTTTTCGGCATGTTGATTGCTGTTCTGTTTATTCAAGAGGCCATCAAGGTAACTCCCGGTGAGAAAATAAAACAGCTGTTAGTTTATGCACAGCAACTTCTATAATGTGATTCAATTGCAGGGTGTGGTGAGTGAGTTTGAAATTCCCAAAGCTCAAGATCCAACGTTAGAGAAGTATCAATTTCAATGGCTTTATACAAACGGACTATTGGGAATAATATTCACATTTGGCCTTCTCTATGCTGCCTTGAAAAGCAGAAGGGCCAGGTCATGGCGGTATGGCACAGGTTTGTCAAGCAAAATTTATACCGTTTGACCATTTGCACTTGTACAAATAATAAGTCGATATATGAAATCTGAAAGAAGTATTAATGTTCAACAGGTTGGTTCAGAAGTTTCGTTGCAGATTATGGGGTTCCTTCAATGGTTGTTCTGTGGACGGTACTGTCTTTTAGTGTACCAAGCAAAGTTCCATCCGGGGTTCCCCGAAGGCTTTTTAGTCCTCTTCCTTGGGAATCTGCATCATTAGAACATTGGACGGTAATCAAGGTAACCATATAATCTTTCCTTAAAAAAAGAATCAAGTCTTATATATATTGCATTTCACTTGTCTCTTGTATTATGACAAAGTAGTCAGCCTTTGCATCTGCCCCTACAACTTTTGTAGTGATAAAAATGGCTTTCCCAAAGCAAACAAACTGGATAACTTTCATCAAAATGGTCTGATGGCTAATCTATATGATTAAGCAAAATAAGTGTTTATGAGGCACATTTCTGGTGGAAAACTAATAAACTTGAATTAATAGCTGCTTATTTTCTAAAGAAAATGATAATAAGATATGTCATTTGATCTCAGTTCAGGGCTATTTGAGATCAATTATTCTTGTGCAAAAGTCGGATTCAAGTTTGACCGTTTTAAATTATCAAATTGCAGGATATGGGAAAGATCCCTCCAGTGTACATCTTTGCTGCCTTCCTTCCAGCTGTGATGATCTCAGGACTCTACTTTTTCGACCACAGTGTTGCATCACAAATGGCACAGCAAAAAGAATTCAATCTTAAGAATCCTTCTGCATATCATTATGACATCTTGCTGCTGGGATTCATGGTAAACCTCATAGTCAGGCACTACTGCCACCCAAATTGTACACTATCTTATCATTGACTTATGTTCTACATTAAAACATGCTTGCAGACTTTGCTTTGTGGATTAATTGGCCTACCTCCTTCAAATGGAGTCCTACCACAGTCTCCTATGCACACCAAGAGCCTTGCTGTTCTCAAAAGGCAGGTCGGTATTTTCAAAAGAGAAGTTTTTCATTAAATAATTTTGACCTGGTTACAAACTTAATGCAACTGATGTATGTTACGCAGCTAATCAGACGAAAGATGGTTAAGAGTGCAAAAGAAAGCATAAAGCAGAAAGCTAGCAACTCCGAAATATATGGCAAGATGCAAGCTGCCTTCATAGAAATGGACAGCAGTCCAGAAGTAAGTTCTCTGATCACTAATTTATTTATTTCTCCAAGAAAGTAATGCTTTGGCTTGAAACAACTGCTAATGGCATTTAGTCCACAATTCATTTCGAAATATGAAAGTTTTGCTTCAATCCTGAACTGCGAGTCTTTATTCTCTGAATAATGTCTTTTGAATTAACAAGATACTGACTTGATCTTCAGAAAACATGATACACAATCCTCAAATTATTTCTGGAACATGTTCTTGCTCATGGTTATTCCATGTCAAATCACAAAAAAGAGATTAGTATACCACAAGTTTTAACTATATTTATGGTTTTGCAGATATATTGCATAGATTTGCAGAACACAGACTAATAAATTTAATCAGATATAATGCCTAAATATTCTCTATTCCTTGTATAGACTACAATAGTTAAAGAGCTGGAAGACTTGAAGAAGGTTGTTATGAAAGGGGAAAATAAGGGAGGAAATGATAAGGAAACATTTGATCCTGAAAAGCATATTGATGCCTATTTGCCTGTCCGAGTCAATGAGCAAAGAGTGAGTAATCTTTTGCAGTCAATCCTAGTTGCTGCATCTGTATGCGCTATGCCTGCAATCAAGTTGATACCTACATCAGTTCTTTGGGGATATTTTGCTTACATGGCCATTGATAGTCTACCTGGAAACCAGTTCTGGGAAAGGATGCTACTTCTCTTCATTACACCTGGCAGGCGATGCAAGTATGTTACATATCTCTTTTTGGTAATATTGCACATTCAAAAACTTTGAAACCAAGATCATTCCATTCTTCATTTTTCAGAAATTTAGATTTGCAGCAAAAACAGAAACTGCAAAGTTAACAGAATAAACCCATTTGATAGTCATGATCTTGCTTCAAGTACCTTGATTGTTCAGTAACACATTATTAGTAGTAGTAGTAGTAGTAGTAGTGACAATGATATTTCTGTTTTATTCGACGATTATTTGGCTAATTCCTGTGGTGCCTTATAATCACTATTGGCAGGGTCTTGGAAGGGGTTCATGCTTCTTTTGTGGAGTCAGTGCCATACAGATATATTGTGATGTTCACGCTTTTCCAGTTGGTATACTTCCTGCTATGCTTTGGCGTGACTTGGATTCCTATAGCTGGAATCTTGTTCCCATTGCCCTTCTTCCTTCTCATCAGCATAAGACAGTACATTCTCCCAAAGGTCATTCAGCCAAATTATCTCCGGGAACTTGATGCAGCTGAATACGAGGAAATTACCGGTGCCCCAAGATTATCCCTCAGCCGCTCTTTCAAGGTATTGCTATTTGATCATTCTGTATGTTATAACCATAAATTATATTAACAAAAATGTTTTTCCGAAGAAGTTAAATTATCATTTTGTCAGGAACGTGAGACACCTCGTCTGGGGAATGAAGAGGATGGAGTTGAAATGTTTGATGCGGAGTTATTAGATGAGTTGACAACCAGTAGAGGGGAGTTGAAGGTCAGAACCGTAAGCTTCAACGAGGACAGGAAGGGTCAGGTATGAATTGTCTGTCACGCATGATCTTCCTGTGAACTTATATAGCAAGGTCGATAATCTTAACAATTTTATAAATGTATTTTGCAGGTTTATCCAGAGGCTGTTGAGAAAGAATGAGATGACAGATGAGTTGAATTGAAAAACACGAACAACAGATAGGCTGATAACGACGATAAGAATAATTACTTCTCTCCAATAAATGAGGTTTAAATAAATAATTCCGCATCAATAATGTTAGAATAATAATAATAACAACAAAAAAGAACCATTGGAGGTTGGCTCATATAGGATTTTGTAGCAGAGAGGAAGAAGGTATGACAGCAACTTTAACAAAAATCTTTCTCTATTTCTTTTGGGGCTGAATCTGACAAACTCCAATTATCAAGTCAATAGGGTTGAGATTTGGGGTAAAGTTATGTTGGGTTGAAATCCCAACAACGTATACAACCACTCCAGGCCTTCCAAACATGTAAAATGCAAATTTATTGCACAAAAAATTGAATGCATACATGTAAATTGCATCCTAAATCGTGCTATATATATCAATGTGTGATTACATTATGCCCAAGAGCATTCATTTCATTGTTCTTCAGACAGTAGCAAAAAAAAAGAGCTTCTTCTCCCCATAGAAAGCATAACGGGCGAAGAAATATGAGCCAGAGATTGTTATTTGACAATGCTGTCAAGTAGGGGAGATTTTCGTTAAAATGATTCCAAAATTTGATCATCTCAGCTTTTAATGGCAGCATATGCAACTATCAGATTCTGGGCAAAATAGAATGAGTACAAGTATTGTTTTGGTCCCCTCAGTTGCCATTGGTTGCCAGCCTCTCCACCATTGTATCTGTTAGATGATTACATTTGAAGTAGGCGTTTTCTAGCCGCCTTATGCATGTGTTTGAATTCGGAATACTTGACCTTTCTATGTTTCCATTAGCAGTCCACCAGTTAAGCTACAGTCCATCCCTTTTTGTTTCTTTAATTACCAACCCTAAGTTTTTTGCTCAAGAGTAACATAAAGATCACAAAATATATATTACTTACTATCATCTATTTGAAACAGCCTCTTTATCTATAACTTATATTTATAATCTATATAAGGGTAGGAATTTAGGAAAATTTTTTTATTTGACGAAAATAGACATATTTTGCTCATTATATTTTTAAATTGATATTTAAATTTTTTAGTTTTAATATTAATTAATTAATCTTCATTAGATTCCCTCCTAATTCTAATTAATCAGAATTAAACATTATTAAGTAGAGAAACATGCACATGGGCCTTCGAGGATATAAAATGGAATAACACCTTCAATACTTCAATATTAGGTGTACATAATTGAATATCATCGTATTGAAAGTTCAAGCAATTCAATCTTTGATCTAATGATTGTTACCTTTCCAAGAAGGATTAAGATCCACAAGTCAAGCCACCAATCACACATGTTGAATTGCTTGAACTTTGAAAGTACATCAAAGATTAATATCCCTTGTTGTACATCACACATGTTAAAAAAAAAAGAAAAAAACCACATTGAAAGTACTAATAAGAAATATTGTTACCAGTTACCAATTTACGAAGGATAAGATTTGAGATTCAAATCACTATTATTCTTTTTACAGTTGACTTCATATATGTAAAAGTATATAAATAAATAAATAAATATTTAAATAAGTTTTTAAACTAAATAAAAAAGTTAATTAAACTCTTATTCTTTTATTACATTTAATTTAACTCTTAAATTATTATTTTGAATCAAATAAGTTCCTTTGCTAACTATTAGCTGATTTTGGTTCGTTAACTGTACAATTGATATTTTTTTGTCACATTATCTACTATGTGACAAGTTAATGTGCCATTTTAATGATAGCACTATGATGTGACAAATGATGTGTCATTAAATATTGTTGTTTAGGATTTGTTTGTTACCCTTTTTACCTAGTCATAATTCAAAAAATGATTGGCTTAAGAATTTAAAACAAAAAATATAAAATAAAAACCTAATTGTTGTGAAATGTAACCTAAAAGAACAACTATGAGAGTAAAGCATTAATAAAGTAAGAAAGATCTTGAATGTATTTACAAGTGAAATGAAAGACATATTTATAGGCTAATAATCCTTTATTTAGATAAAATTTACAAGATAAAAATAATGTTAGAGATTATCCATTCAAATTAAATCCTAAACCTAATCCAATCTAATATACATCCAAATCTAGATATACATAATCAAATTTAAAAGTTTATATCATATTACATTATTGTGTCTTGCTTGTTAGGTCGTTTGACTTATTTGGGAAGCCTAGCCTGGTCTAAACTCTTGGACCATGAGATAATGTACACTCACACATATATTCATAACATTTCTACTTGAATATCCATTATATTAAGAATATAACTAGTTAAAATCTCATTAGGAAAAACCTTATGAGAAAAAATCCGTGTCAAGGAAAAATAGTACATTAATTCTTTTTAAGAATAAACTTTGAACTATTGTCTCATTAAAATCCTTACTGAGAAAAATTCAGTGGGAAAAACCTTGATGAAGGAAAAGAGTACAATGCATATTTTGCTTCCTCTGAGGACTACATTATTTAAGATCTTTAAAATGACGTATTCTAATATTTTGTATCAACTTTTCAAATGTTATAGTAGAAAGGGCTTTGGTGAATAAATATGCTAGATTGTTACTTGAATGAATTTGTTGAACATTATTATCACCATTTTCTTGAAGTTCATGAATGAAGAAGAATTTTGGCAAAATATGTTGTCTTATGGCCTTTAATGTATCCTTCCTTTAACTAAGTTATGCAAGTAGTATTAGCTTCATATAACGTTGTCGAAATTTTCTTCTTGATTGACAAGCTACATATTTCTCGAATATATTAAGTAATAGATCTTAACCAGACACATTCACTACTTGTTTCATAAATTACTAAAATTTCTGCATTGTTAGAAAGAGTAGTAACTATAGTTTGCTTTATAGAAGATTATGAAATAGTCATATCTCTATATATGAATAAGTTACATGTCTAAGATCGAGGTTTCTGTGGATTAAATAAATATGTTTCATTTGCATATCCAGCTAATTATGATTTTGATATATTGGAGTAATATAAGCCCATGTCCATTGCTCCAAGGAGATATTGAAGTATATTTTTAATTTCATTCCAATATCTTTGAATTGGAAAAAACCTATATCTTGTTAATAAATTTATAACAAATAATATCTCAAGTCGTGTATTGCTAGCAGGATACCTTAATGCTTCAATTGCACTAAGATATGGTACTTCAAGACCAAAAAGTTCTTCATCATTCTTACAAGGTCGGAAAGCTTTTTTCATATTTAGTGACCTTACAACCATTAGTGAACTCAATGGATATGCTTGTCCATATAGAATCGTTTTAACACTTTTGTTATATAATTTGATTGATGAAAAAAAAGTTAAATTTGTCAAGTGATTAATCTGAAAATCCAAACAAAACTTTCTTTTTCTAAAGTCTTTCATCTCAAATCCATTCTTTAAGTAATTTATGGCTTTTGATACCTGATAACTCTATATGATACATTTTGGGGGCTTAAGTAGCTAAATATTTGAGTTTTTAAGTTCAGATTTTAGCATTTTAGGTGTTTTTCTAGTTTAAGTTTGATTACTTGTTAAGTGATTAATTTAAGTTATTTTAGTTAAATTTTTGTTATTTGTTTTTAAATTACTTTAAAAGTAGTTATTTGCTAATTTCTCTTATGGCTTTTGTAGAAAATTGATGAAAAAGGCTCATTTGATGAAAATTAGTGCAAGTATGACGATGGCTTCATTCGTATATGTTTCGGTATTTTGACTATATCTCTCTCTAAAAAACTCCAAATGAGGTGATTCTTGGACCAATAGAATTCTAAGAAAAAGGGATACAACTTTATTGTTAATCAATTCACCCAGTTCTAATTGGATCATGGTCAAAATATTTGTCAAATTCGAAACACTGCAGCAGTATGCAAGGACTGAGTATGATGCAGTATTTGGAACATATCTTTCAATCCAGAAGTCCAATTGATGTGATTCTTGACCCATTGGAAGGCAGGGAGAAAACTTTTATGTTTACTACTTTGCCAAGTTCGGAACATGTCAGGGTAAAACTTACGTTTGAAGTTGATAGACTGCTGCAGCACTGGGAGAACAAGGCTGCAGCGTTGATGAAAGAAGCAGACACAAAATTTCCAGAGAGCTCAATGCTGCAGCGCTGGAGAAGTAGCGCCACAGCTCTGGGCAACTTTCCAAATATAAAAGAAGTTGACGGGATTTT